AAGTTAAAACAACTCGGTTCAACTATCCTAATTGATTGTTCATTATCTTGAATATATAAAACTGGAAATTCAGTATAAATATAAATATAAAAAAGGTAATGTTCTAAATACCAGAATATTTCATTAGTGGACAGTGCTGATGGAATGATAAGTATGCTGTAAACTTAAAAAAGGAGATCTACAGTAGATGCAATAAAACCTACATAACAATTGGCAGTCCTTGTGAAAATCAGCAGAGAGTAAGTGCTCCTATGAACATTTGAGCACAATGATAAAGATGAATAAGTTATCGACCAGTTAACAGATAGTGCGAATTCATTAGTACTGCCTGAACCACTGACTGGTGGGAGAACAAAAGTGGGGACTCACTAATGGAAAAACACTTTTCTCTTTAACCAATTTATCCTAACTGTGGGATATGAGGCTGTTGCAGCCTGAAACTAACGCATTTTATTAACTTCTGACTTCCTGCTCTTGAATGGAGTACTTTGACAACTCCTTGCAGCCAAGGATAGTTGAAATCCCATGAGTGTGTTATTTGTGCGTCTGAAGGTGATTGATGAGGCTGATCCAAAATCAACAGACTCCTATAGTATATTATTTTATGAAATTCTTCTTGATAATAGGCACACCATACTCAAAATCCAATAATCATGTATTGTATTCTAATTTGTTATGTTTTGTAAATACAGACCTTATTTTCAATAGTTAATGACAAACTTTTTATGTACTGTACATGGTTACTGTACATTGAGGACACAGGTAAGGAGTTCGCCTCATTTCATACAGTACGCTTCATATGCTTCACAGGAAAAAGTATTGTACTATAAAGAAATCCATTACTTTAAATTTCCAGTAACATTAATTGAAGAATTGCTTTATGAGAACTGTCCCAGTTTTATAGCATTGAAGGAGAGGATCTACAAACCCAGATCAGATAATTATTCACAATCCATGGTTTATTTGTCCTACAGGTTCTGCCCCTGGGTGTGCAAATCGTTTTAACATTCCTGCTGCATTTTCTTTCATGGCTTTACACTCCAAAGAGGATTATGGCCCATGGCTTGAATTCATTATGATAGTGCTGTCATAATTGGAAATTAAGTGGGTTGAAGGGAATAAAGAAAAGGTGTTCAAATAGCTGGGAAAAATCTTATCTTGACATAGATGTCAATTCAGTCTGTAAGCCTTTGTTAGTCTCTAAGCTAGTGTAGTGTATTTTTAAAATTATTGCATAGCAGTTAAAGACTGAATGGTATGTGAAATATGTTTGACAAAGGCAATGATATAAAGGCAGAAGAAAAATATCAGAATTTCAGTTTTCATCAGATACAGTAAATAGTTTATTAAAAAAATCTTAATTTTCTTATTATGACACATTTGGAATGAAAATATTTCCCACGATGTTTTGTCTGCTTCTCTGTGCAGTGTGTATTCAGCAATGTGTTGTTAATTATGTCATATACTGAAGATATTGTCTGTAGCATTTGGAAACAATTACTAAAACCTATAATTTGCTAGTAAAGAGTGTGTGCAAAAAATGTGACTGATTATGAAGCATAGTTCAACAATTAACTTGGAGTGAACTAAATAAAGATAACTGAAAACATTCAAATTATTGCTGCCAGCACTTGTCTGTGGCTATAATTTAAATCTAACTAGAGAACTATTATTTAGGAATTCAGGATGAGAATGTGTTTTCTGGTGTTTGATGCATTTCAGTGAGAGATACAGCACATAACACACAGAAGCTGCAGACTGCCAGCAGGGATTCATGAAAAATAAGCTTAGTTTCTCACTTGATTTAAAAATAATAAATATGAAGGGTTCTGAAGATTAAAGTACAGTTCTGAAGTACATTTTATGAAGATTATTTTTAATATTTTATTAATTTTAAGTTCAGAACAGCATTCATTGAAACACAATGACTGGTACTACCTGATTGTATTGTTGTTAGGTTTAATAGGAACTGGTACATAATAAAGGAGCAGGTGCAATCATATATTTGACCTTCCAAAGAGTCCAAATGGAAAACTTGGTTTCTATGAGTAATGAATAAAAATACAAAAGTTATCTTTACAATTAACATCTATGATACTATAATTACTCATCAGTATGCACGTTCTTTGGTTCATTAATATTAAATTCAGTGGTTTGGTCAATTTCTGTCTAAATGAACTGACAAATATTAAGGGATAGTGTATTTAACCTGCCTGGCTGAGGAAATGACAACCCTGATCAGCACTGTAATATTCTCCCAGGGGCCAGGGGAAAATGTTGCCATGGTGATGTTGGGGTGGAGGAGGGAGGGGAGTGTTAGAAAAGATGCACATAGTGTCGCGTTTAGCAAGGGAGCATTTATATGTAGGGGATCGAATGTGAGATATTAGAATTCGACTTCTTATTGAACTTCTGTTTAAATAAACACCGTTTTACTAGTAATAAGGACAAAAGTGATACAAAATACGAAAAGGATAGTGTGTTTAATACTTTGGCCTTAATTCTCTTGAGCTGAGGAAATGACAATGCTGGTCAGAGATTTGCGTTGTCATGTCCCCACAAAAACTATCTCCAAAACACAGATGCAGATTTTGAACACTTTCGAGTTAAGAGTGAATTGATTTGACAGCAGTGTTGCAGGAACCAAGCAGAATGTGTGAGTAGCTTTGAATTAATGAGAAGTGCATATAATACATGCTTGAGCTTGTTTTAGTGAGTAGATTTGTATATGCAGTGCTTTAGAGTAACACTGGCAGTGAATGAAATGAATAAGAAGCACATGTGATGTGGGTGATGGAACACAATTCAGCAAACAGGTGGCAGCACTAGCAGGACCTTGAGATTGGCATTGGTGAGCAGCATAAGAGGCTGCAGCATTTCAGAAGAGTAAACTGAAGTGGAAATAGGAAGATGGTATAGAGGAGAATGGAACCCCCAAAGAAAGAAGAAATATCAGCTACAATCAATGAAAGCTCTGGGAGGGGGAAGAGTCGAGGGCCAATACTGCAACAGCTGGACACCAACTGAGGGAGTGGGTAAAGGAGAAGGGAGGGGAGAAACCTCGCATATATATGCAGATGTATATATATGCAGAAAGAATGTGTTAACATTATACATTTATATATTTTCTTTCTCTTTGATGATGGTAGCTAGCAGAGATTTATCATTTTATAAATTATAATTGCATTTGGATTAAGTGTGCCTATATACCCAGAAGCAAAATGAATAGAATGAATCTAGACTAAGAAATCATATGCTGGAATTTCTTTGATCCTACTTGAAATAACCATGGAGACTAAGAAACCTTAAATAACTGTCAAAAAGGATGAGTCTGAAATGCTTTCAGGTATTGTTTCCCCAACCATGACAGTAAATGGTTTAAAAAAACAGTGCGTAAATACAGTCCTATTTTCAAATTGAAATTACACATATTGAAACCCCCAGATTTTTTTCTAACAATAAGTATACCAATCTCTGTTTCAACACTGCAAGCTGAATTTCAAAGATGTACATCCAAATTATTCATCCATATCCTGCACTGTCTCCCAGATTTTTAGAAAAGATCTCTGACTGAGCAGTTTTCTCCTTATCTGGATTGGCCTGTAATGAATTCAGAAGGTGAAGAGCATTGCTGAAGGCCTCCTCTGAAAAATAAATCTTTGGTCTTTTCTGTTAGCAGCACCAGTATCATGAATTTTGAGTACATCTGCTTCTGATTGCTGCCATGGAAAAAGAACGAGAATGTACGGTTACCTGGAAAAATAATTGACTTTCCAAAAATGAAATTAAAATACAGTTACAGGACATTCTAAGCCACAAAAAGCAAAAAATATAAACCATATATTTTGCTTCTGTTGTATTATGATCAAATGATGTGAATTTTATCAATATCAAAGTGCTTTTATCTAGATTCTTATATAGTCTGCAAACTTGTCAAGTTCAGAGATGATAATAAAAGAGAAGACCCAGGAAATACTGCAGCTAAATAATTTAGAAAATGTAATCAGCAATCATATTAAATCTTTTTTACTGGCCCAGGTCTGGTTATACCATGTTGGTGAAACTGCAGACTATGATTGTTTAATTTGACAAAACTATAGGAATATCATAATTAGAGAGGTTTTTTTACAAGGGTCTTCTTTTAATCGTTGTGACAGTGAGCTATTTATATATAAGAATAGTGTTGTTTATACTTGAATATTCCACCTTTCTGTTATAATGTAATGTATTAATAAAGGAATTTAATCTTACTGTAGGTCAGTGCAATCAGCTTATATTAAACAACAGCACTGGTCTGTGAAAATCAACAAGATAAAATCAACTAAAATTATAATGCACAAAGATGCATTATTTAAATCGTAAAGCCATGAAATGTGCAAGGTAATAAAAAAAAACGGGAAATGCGGTACACGCAAACATTTTTTATTATCCAGCATTACTTCATGCTAAAATTCGAATGAGTGCTGTACAGTGTCTGCATTTACAATTTGGAATTAAAAAATGTCTACTGCATCGCTTAAACTGCAAGCAAAGAGCAGTAAGTTCACGTGTATTATTACATTGCATTAAGCTGTCTTTTCGTTCATACACGTCGAACGTTGAGAACTGCTTCGCCCGGTCTTAGAGTTTTAGGGTACATTAAAAACATACTATATAATAATGTAACGCCGCAGTAAACGTATTATACTGTACATACTGTAGTGAAAATATCTTAAATAGGGTGAAAGTCGGTTAAATGTGTAGGGTGACGACTCCAAGCAAAGGAATGCGTAGTAATAGTAAAATCTTATTTTCAAAGCTCAGTACATGTAGAAATGGTCATATTTAAAGAGGCTTGATAAACCAATACCTTTAAATACTACTGCTTAGAGCTGCAATACTACATAGTGTTACTGCCAAGATTTCTTCAGGGTGCTGTTGTAACAGGGATTTCCGGGTTAAACCTTATACTATAAGTTATAGTATTGTGAAAGAGCATTAGGTTTTCCCGTACTGACAAGGAGGAGTGTCCGGTCATTTGAGTCATGAAAAGTATCAACTACTTACTGTAAAGCAATGTATCCAAAACCGGAAGACGTTGCATAAAACCTTTACAGTATTAATGTTTAAAACGGTATCAGTCTTCAGCATCGAAGATGTTAACAAAGTAGTAAACTGCTCATGGCAAGTAAGTTATTTTTAGAAAACCTAAATGAAAATGTTCTCTGTTCATTTCTTTTTTTGCATTTCCGGGTCTAGGGTTTGTTAACACTTGGACACAGGGATTAAACAAGTCTAGTGTCTGTTTGTAGATTTTGCGTTGCTGCTAGTACTCATGCTTTACGTATTGTACGGTAGAAAGGTTTGTAGCAGTACCTCTCTACAAAATGGACAAAAAAAGTTATAGAATCAAAACTATGATTGAAAGACATTTGTTTTGCTTTTGAAAGAGATGGGTAGAAAAGAGAAGTAGTGCTTTTGGGTTTATATATAACGTTTCACAAACTAAAAATAGTAGAAACTGAAATTTTACCACGAATTAAATTTATATCTATTTTACCATTTAACTTAATTTATGTTTTACGCCGTGATTTATGAAAACCTCATAGTTTGGTTTAGTGGGTTATCGTGAATGGATGCTGTGACTGTTTTAAAGATTCGGATGGGGGGTAAACCTCTCCCTAGTGATACTGTAGCCTTTTAAAAGCGCTGGTGTACTGTACTGTAGGTCCATAGGACACTTTATACTGAGATACGAAATAGGTTATTATGGTATTTCTACAATACATTATAGCCCCACCTTGTGGTAGATGATTTTTTATTTTTTTAATTTAACATTTGTTAAGTTAAAAATATTTATATTTTTTATATCATTTTCTCGGGTGTTCATTTAACAGTGAAATCTTATATACTCATCAATTTCCCTACGGGATTAATAAAGTATTATCTATCTATCTCTCTATCTATCTATATACTTTGACTTCGGCCGAACAGGCAGTTCAATGATCTCGATTAGCCTGATTGAAGCCAGTTTTATTTCGTCTTTTCTGGAAGGGGGGGTAAGATCGATAATATCGCCCCCACTTCAAAGGAGGATTGTTTTATTTAGATACAGTCCATGTGCAATATTCAATTTTGTGTCTTTAAACCTGACTGATTAAAAAGGTAGTTCAGTGGGTAGCTGCGTCAGCATGCGTAGGCTGCAAAGGAACAAGTAATAGGTTTATTCCATGCTGAAAAGAGAAGAAAGGAAACACAGCGTTCCAGCTCCTGATTAAAAAGATATCTATTCTAAAGTAAGAATCTCTCAGAGTTGGCAGCATTCTTCCGTCACAGCTACTGCTACAATCTTGCAATGCTACACTTATCATGCAACCTTTCAATATTAGACCTTTGCTTAGATCTATACTTAATTAGGAATCTCTGGATTTTTCTGATTCTTGTCTCCAATTCTCTGTTCACTGTATTGACAATGTAACACTTCTGCTGTGAGACCCTCCAAACCTGTCATCAGCATACAGTATGTCTCTTTATGTGTTCATGGTAATCGTTCAAACCAATCCTGAGAGCAATTTCTATCCCATTTCTTCAGTCTCTGCCGTCACAAAACAGGTGATACAGGGAATGTGTTTAGCATACAAATGATCCAATATAAATTGCAAAGTTGGAAAAGTTAATGAAGTGTCTGGACAGACATGCTGACCCAGGATGTAAAAAATTACAGTAAGGGAAAGGTCTGGAGTAGATGTAGCTGTTTTAGAATTTCAAGTCTGCCTTGGTATTCCTAAGAAATAGCAATTATAAGGTCTTTTATGCAGAGGTTCAGGGCAGAAAGAGGCTACAACTAGACTCAAAGCCACTGTCTTTACACAGAGAACAAAGCAAAATGTTTGTTTTGGGCCTCTTAACACTACATGCTAGTAAATGATATTTTCTTGCTATTGCTGCTCTTTGTAATACATTTGCTCTTCATCTCTGTGTGTGTTTCAGATCTGATCCACCTCCTTAAATAGCGGAAGAACAGGGGTACAGTCAATGACATGTTTAAAGGTTAACAATTACAAATCATGCATTTTATAACTTGGCAAGTAACTGCGTTGGAATTATAACTTGTTTTTCATTTTATAGATTTAAGAAAAACTTCCTGACAGGTTAAGCAAGATACATATACACAAGTAAGTAAAAGATATTGCATAAAAGTATTTAACGAACTGCCGAATGGATGGTCTTTCTTCTTGTGACTTTTACATTATGTTTTATTGTGGTGTGCCATGCCATGACCTAGGTTATGATTTTGTGCTTTATTTATGCCTATAGCCTTGGTGGCTGTGAATATTGTGTGTTCAGCTGTAGGCTTTGTCAACCCATATTGGCAGTTCTCTGCCCTACTCTGTCTTTGTTTAATGAGCAGAATTGTAGGGGTCAGTGCATGAGTTTTAAATTTTAGCCTTTCCTTCTTTATGCATTAATTTAATGAAAAATATTATATAAGCTAATACAATAGACATTTCACTGATATTTTGATCATTAAGAACTTTATAGTGCAATTTAAAATGTACTGTAATTACATTTTGACATTAATAAAAAAAATCAAATTAATGTTCACCTACACATAGCCCCATCTAAGCAATTTATACATTTTTCTCACTCAAACCCACTCAATCTTGAACCTCATTATTAGTGTTGTCCCTCCTATTTCTATGGAGACTAACAGGTTACTCCAGTCTAGCTTTTATTAAATCTGGAATACCTCAAGGCAGCTCTTAAAAGGACAGAACAATTTCACCTTGGCACCAAAGAGATGCAATAATTCACCACACAGTTCTGCATAGTTTTAAAATAGGTTAATAATGAAAAGTCATGGAGAGAAATTGTCTTATCAAACATATCCCTGAAGCACACACATTTCTCAGCCCCTTTTTAGACATTAACTACAGCCAGTGTCCAACTGTTTGTGTAATTATACTGTATAAAGAATTTAATTGCTGTTTAGCCCCTGTTTTAACCTCATTTTGCTTACACAGTCACCAAGACTGTGCTTACAATTTTGCAATCAGAATTTCTTACCTGAGTTTGTATGTTCTCCTTGGGGGTGGTGGGTTCCATACAGGTGCTCTGATTTTACACGAATAGGTGTGCTATTGCATAACACTTGCTTTCCACCTCTTGCTTTCGTTGGTCATGTTCTTTTCATTACAGGCTAATTAAATTTTCTAAATTGGTAGAGGCACTTTTTCAAGCTTTTGTTACTAAGGAAGCTCTAAAAAGAGACATCTTCGGTTTCATACAGAGTCACATATTCTATATTGTCTATACAGAGTCACAGAGTCTATATTGATTATTGTTCTCGTGTGCAGGTACATCCCAGGAACATATTCTATGTTTAGACATTGAGATATAATTAAGCTTGATCCTAACTATAATGTTTGCCCTTTTTCAGTGGATTTCATCAGGAAAAACTATGTGGAACTTATCGAGAGGATGGGAATAACGATAACCCATCAGATTGCAGATCATATCTATAGCAAAAGTGTCATTGATCTGGAGGAGAAAGATGAGATTTACTGTGAGAAAACTGGTCCCAAAGCGGCTCGCAAAATCATTGATTTGATTCAGCAGAAAGGGGAAAAGGCTTGCAGACTTTTTGTTGACTGCCTCAGAGTTAAAGATGTCTTCTTGTTTGAAGACTTGCTTGGGAGATGTAAGTCATACTTACAGATATTTAATTAAAACACTTCATTCAAATGTGTTTTTTGCAGTAATTGATTAATCCTTTTTTGTACCATACTGTAGCTTTGCCTGAAGTACCAACGAAACAGAACATAGACATGATGGCAGAAGATTTAAAACACTTGTATAAATCAGCATATTTCCAAAAGTTTCACCCTTTGGGGGAGGACATAGACATTATTTTTGATTTGGAAACAACATTCACTGATGCACAGTTTTGGAAAAAGGACATATGGAATCAGAGAAAAGGCACTATGACTCTTTCGCATTTTTTGGGTGAGTTCAAGAACCCAACTGTCATTGAAGGAGGAGCTGGCAAAGGCAAGACCACTCTCCTGAAGAGAATTGCAGCACTTTGGGCTTCGGGAGAAACCTCAGTGCTGAATAAGTACAGGCTGGTCTTTTTCATAAGCTTGAGTGCTGCAGAAAGAGAAATATATGAAACAGTTTGTGAGCAGCTGCTCAGAGTGCCCTATGAAATTGACAAGGAGACCTTTCAGAATTCTTTACGGTTCTTGAAAGAAGAGGTTCTGTTCCTTTTGGATGGATATGATGAATTTAAACCAGCAAACTGCCCGGAGATAGAGGACATGATCAAACATAACTTTCGGTTCAAGAATACGGTAATTGTGACAACACGCACTGAATCAGTCAGTAACGTGAGGCCCATTGCTGAAATCATTGCAGAGATTGGGGATCTCAGTGAGGAGAACAGTAAGGTCATTATTAGAAATATCTTGGGTCCTGAACTCTCTAAAGGCCTTCTGCAGCAACTCGAAAACTCAAGCACCATGCAAGAATTGATGAAGACACCGCTATTTGTGGTCATAGCTTGTGCCATCCGGTTGGGTGACACCAGCATCATTCCTAAAACACAGACTGTACTTTTCCGTACCCTTTATGATCTGATGATCTCAAAGAACCAGTACAAAATTTCATTTATGACTTCGGAAACAGTTCAGGAGAGCATCAACGTATGTGGGGATCTAGCACTTCGGGGAATTTTCGAGCACTGCTTTGAGTTCTATTTAAGAAAAGAGCTGCACAGTGAACAAGAGGATGTGCTACTGAAATCTGGACTTCTGAACAAGTACACCGCTCAAAGGATGGAGCCTGTCTATCGTTTTTTTCATAAGTCATTTCAGGAGTACATAGCAGGAAGAAGACTGCATGGACTATTAACTTCAGCCAAAGAGTCAGAGATGAAGATGGGGTACCAGTACCTGAATCAGATTGATAATATTTCAGATATTTCTAATAAATACTACAATTTACTGATGTACACGTGTGGGTCTTCCACACAAGCTGCTAGCATTGTCATTCAGCACATGACAAATGTTAAAAAACATGGAAGACTGTTGGGCACCCCATTAGAAACTGACAGGCCGCATGTTCCTTCAGACAATAACCAGGAACAGATCTCACAGAATATGGAAGAACTTCACAAGCTGCAGGAAGTTAGCATGGAGAGTTTTGTAAACTGCGCTCTTAACTTCTTTGCAGAAAGTCTTTCAAAAAATGAGCTAAGTGCAGAGTTTGAATTTTTCTTTCAGAAAAAAAAGCTGCACATCAGCAGCCAGAGCATTCCAACCTGTTTGAGTGACTTCTTTCAATATTTGCCAAAATGTTTGGCTGCTCTAGAACTCATCGAGTTGGAACTGTTTGGCAATTTGCACTGTAGTGAAATCCCGAATCAGAGCAAAAAGACATACATTCCAGAGAAGGCAGTGTCCTTGTTTTTCGATTGGAGTCACAGCCTTAATAGTATTGAAGTATCTTTGAATGATTTTCAGAGGTTATCTAAAAAAGATATAACATATCTAGGAAAGATATGCTGTTCAGCCAAAAGCCTTAGGCTTCTCCTAACAAGAAGCAAAGGTATAAGTGGAAAACTTCCTGATGTCCTCAAAATGTGTGAATACAACCTGAAGGATCTAGTTATTGAAGAAACTCCTTTGACATTAACAGATGAACAGCACATTGTTCTTATGAAACAGCTTAAGACTTTGTATATAAGTGATCTGCAGACTGAAAGACTGCCAGGTTAGTATGTGTTATCTTTTATTTAAATGTTAAAGACATTTTAATAGGTGTGTATAAAAGTTTCTTACATGGAGAACATGTTTATTATATTTTTGTGAATTCATTTATATTAAATTTGTTTCATTTATCTGAGATTTTCTGCTTATTACAGGGGGATTATTGGAGGGAATCCAAAACCTTCAGAACCTTGAGAAATTAAATTTAATTAATATAAAGATGGCTGAAGATGATGCAAAACAGCTAGGTAAATTTTAATCATTTTGTAGGAATTCAATTAAATCAAGGAATTTGAAAGACTAGGAATATGAATAGGTAAAGTACAGTAGGACATTTGACACTGACGTTTTGTAAGCAAAGAGCTGGAATGGCAGCGATGACTAATAATTAGTAATTAGGTGGATGATACACTCTGCAATACAGATCACGACCATAAAATGTAGGTGTCTACTGTCCTATTAAATTAGAAGGTTTCATTAATCCAATCTTGTTTATCTAGTTGGTGTTATTTAATCAATACTGCATCCTCAGTTCAATGGGTACAATAAAAGTAGCATATAACTGATGAATCCATTATACTGGATTTCTTACTTTTTCCTTATCTGAGGCAAGAATCAACCGAAATGACCTTTGTTTTTTAACAGCTGAAGGAGTGAAGCATTTGCAACGTCTCCAGGAGCTGCACTTGGCCAAGCTGGAAGGCATAGGAAATGGGCTCAGGTTTATAATTGACGCAGCCACCAGTAGAGACTGCTGTCTGAAAAAAATGGTGCTTGTCAACTGTTGCTTGACAAAGGAGGCAGTCATAATTCTTGGTCTGTAGTTTTCTTTTTAATAAATATTTCTCAGGTTTCAGCAGTCAGTTTTGGCTACTGTATATATTAGTAGGAATGAAATATGTGTCTATTTCTATTATAAATGAATATATACACAATATATACTGCAGTAATGAAGGAAGCATTGACATCTGGTTTCAAGCAGATTTCCTCATACAAGTAATGGAGTTAAAAGGAAGTGTGTGGTACAGATCTATTTCACACTTCACATTATGTACTGTACATCTACAGTACAGTACTTGTCTCCGATACTCCTCATATTGGATTTCCAACTTTGCACTAAAAGATTAAATGGTTACACTACATTAGGCACCAGGAGTAAAAGTAGTTTTAAAAGGGAGCAGTAAGAGAAGTGGGGAGTCTAGACCTTATGCTAATATAATTATATAAAACTTATATATAAAAGATACTGCACAATGTGTGTTCTCAGACGGTAGGAGTAATGGTTTATAGACTTATCAGAAAGTTTATTTTTTCTTTTAGCTGAAAATTTGAGGAATGCCAATAAGCTTGAGTCACTTGATCTGTTTGAAAACCAGCTGGAGGAAGACGCAAGTGGCTGTGTGGAAAAACTGAGTAGGTGATAAAGCAAAGTTGTAATGCACAGAAACAGCTACTAATGAAGTGAAGAATGCAGCAATGATCTTTTCTTTTATTGTACATCTTTAGTTGACAAGTTGAGGGCCCTGCCTAGCCTACAGACTCTCATGCTTCCATGGGGACAGAATGTGAAAGACAGCCTGTCCAAGCTTCTGGACTTCCTGAAGAACCTGCCTGGACTGCAGAAACTGGGACTGCAGAGCTGGCACCTCACTGATAAAGACCTAGAGCTCCTGAGTAAGTATAATTCACACTGCTTGGGTTTGGCGTGAAAACTATAAACTCAACAGTGGATCTTCTCTTTTAATTGGGAACACAATTTGTATTCAGTTTAGTCTCATTAAAAGCTTATACAGTATGTTGTAATTAATATTATGCATTTGAGAACATCTAAAGGAGTCTTCACAGTGTGCAGACAGTTAATATATGTTTATACAGTATGTGTATCACTGCTATTACTAAGCTTAAAGCTCTTGATCACTCTTCAATCCAATTTTAAATCATTGCAAACAGCTTAATAGCCTGCAGAAAGTTCAGGGAAAAAATAAGCTAAATACAAATAAAAAAACAAATTTGAAAAAAAAATATTAAACTCTTTCTATTTTTTATGCAGATGCTTTGAAAATACTTCAATTAGTGAATTAATTATCAAAATCTGATGCTACTGTTCACTTGCATCTGTTGTAAACAGCTGTTGTATGAACATGAATTCAGTTCATTCAATGGGCTGAATAAGAAATTAATGTTCTGGTTATATATGACCTGCTGATAGTCTTTAGTTTCAATGAAAACCTGGTAAACAACAAAAGCCTGGTTGTTGAATGTAAAACCGGAGTGGTAATTGGAAAAAAGATGGGAAATGGGAAGAATATTGATCTTCATGACATCTTGTTTTTTACCACGTTGTCTATTTTGGTCACAATGTAGCATAACAATTGAAAAATAAACTATGATTGAGAATTACCTGAGAGAGTCATGTTACTATTCAGTCGTACACAAAAGAGGAATGAAACTAAACTGTTAACAAGCTTTAATTGGCTTGGTATTCATTCAGTTTGCAATTTTAATTATACACATGAGATTTGTCATCTAATTGTTTCTTTATGCTAAGAGAATATAAATGCTAAACAAAATTCTTTCCATCTCACGCTCATGCTTAGACATGTAGTTTTGGGGAAACTGCAATGAAGATATACATAGCAGCTGCCCTTAGAAAAATACCAGGAGTGTACTATTTACGTTCATTTAGACGAATGGCCATTGTTGCCATACCATTATTAGAGGAACATATGAAACTCCTTAAGTAGGAAGATCGTTCCTATTATTACTCTTATTGCTCTATTATTGTTTATTTTAATGCCTTTTCTAATGCTTTTTATGGTAATATGGGAGTATTAGGCAAAGTGTAAGGCACATTGTAACATGTTGTGGAATAACAACTATGTATGTTCCTGAAACTTTTAATATTTGCCCTTAGGCTCATCAATCCAGAATGGTCATTTAAGGGACCTTCAGCATTTGGACCTGTCTGAGAACTGTGTGAGCAGCCAGGGTTGGCACAGGTTCCTCGGGGCACTGGGCATGTTGAAGAAACTGAGGGTTATGGACCTGAGCTCCAAAGAGGGCATGCAGCCCGAACCAAGACTGATCAATGACCTTGGCAAGCTCATATTCGAGCTCTCAGCACTGCGGAGAGTGGGACTGCAGAGGTGGCACCTGGATAAGGAGTACCTGAAATGCCTTAACAAAGGAAATGTAGTCTTTGGTCGTGAGTTTCAACTCCTAGTCAGCTCAGACTACATAGAGGAAGATGAGACAGATGAGGAAAGCCATATGTAGACGTCAGTAAATATTTGGATCATAGCGTGAGTTGTTTGCCACTGCCTGTTGGCATGCTGATTTTAAATGTTTGTTTATTCCCAGTACCAATTTGCACACACTCTAATTTGGTTTTGGATTATACAGTTGTATGAATCTGGCTTCAAATACAATATGGGCATTTTAGAATGTACTGTACTTTTAGATACAGTAGGTGATGAATACCAAAGACTAGAAAAGGGCTTGGAAAAGTTCTAGGCTCACAATCCGAGATCTAGAATTAGACTTTTTATCATCAGTGTTTCCGTTTTGTTAATGAACTGATATCTGTGATGTTGTTCTGCAAGGTAAAGTATTCTCATGCAACATTTCTTGTATGTTTCATACATTTACAGTACATTGAATGTTATATGCAGTTTATACCAGATATATAATTCTGCATTACTTCAAATTTGTATTTATTCTTAAATGTGTAACAACATTTTATTATTGTTATATAAAATCTGAAGATGGCAGCTAAAAGTCTAAAATTTAACAAGGAAGCCTCTTATTGCCGTTTTGAACTTCACAAGTCTGAGTCTCTGTGTTCGACCTCACTGAACCCGAATTCATTACAATACACAATGTGGTAATTACTGTAGAGTACAGTAGGTGGTATCGTCCCCATTCCAGCTGTGTGGTACAATAGAATTATCTGTTTAGTTAATAAAAAACAAAATCGGTGACGTGCTGTTGTTTGTAAAAATTCTCAGCAATATACTGTACTGTAACTTTTTAACAAATCACAGCTTCATTCTTTGATATAGTTCAAGCTTGATAAAAATCAAAGCCTGTTTTGTGCTTGTACCGACATTACTTGGATATCGTACTTCAGGTGGGGAGCTGCGTCAGCATGCGTAGGCTGCAAAGGAACAAGTAAAGGTTTATTCCATGCTGAAAAAAAGAAGAAAGAGAACACAACATTTCGGCTGTGGAGCCTTCTTGAAGAAGTGACTTGGATATGCCTGGTATTGATTTTCTCTGATGGTTTTCTCTCTGCATCCAAAGTGCTCCCTTACCATCACCACCATCACACACTCTTTTAGATTAAAAAAAAACATACCTTAAAGGTTTTCTCTCCCTCAACAACGGAAGATTTAAGACTGATTATGAAGAGCTGAACCTTGTCTAATGTCTGACTAACAGGTTGGTCAGTAGATCTCGGTGTGCTACAGGGAACTCCCGTTTGTGTCCCCTACAGTACAGATGACAAAAGTGAAGGCAGTGTTGTCATCCAGTCCTACTAATAGCATAGTAAGTGATGTGGAAGAAATAATCATTTCCCCCATTGCTTCATCCGTCTTTTGAACCATTCAACTGTGTTGTTATACACCAGAATATCTACTGTATAGATTCGTTCATTTTTTTCTTTGGACTCTGGTTTGAATGTTTAATGAAGTGCTTAGGTAGTTTCCTAACCTAGTTGGGAATCTGTGTTTTATGATAACAGTTGCATCCACCTTCATTTTGTGCACTTGGACGGACTGTGAACATTCATACAATTTAAACCTGGTGGACTGTTGGACTAAAACAAGATACTTTAGTGATTGAAAAATATAAGTATATTTCAATAGGATCATTTTTATTCACAAAGCACTAATTATTGAAAATCCCTTTTAAATCTTTTAGGAACCGTGATGTGACACATATCACTACAATACACGGGATTTTTTAAGATGATCCTCAACTTGTTTTTTTTTTTGCATTGGTACCATTAGGTGGCACTGTAAGACTGTGTAGGAGTGTCCACCTATTTTCAGTCAGTTTGCTAATTTCCCCCAAGAGGAAATTTCCCCTTTATTTTTATTTCCTCTAAGGGAATTTGTCTTGCATGTCAAGAGCTCATAAGCATACTGTATAGCATTATAAACAATGATACGATACAACAACAGCACAATGCCATGATACAAAACAACGTTTAACACCATCTCTCAATCAGTACTCAATCCAGTACCATAGGATTATAGACAATTAACTGGTAAAGTCTCTGAAACAAGAACAATAATTAGATCCCTACTTGCAAACAATCATATTATTGTTAAAAAATTGAATGCTTTTAGGTATAACTGAAGTAAATGCTCCGATAGTCTTTTACGGGTATGTGGTACCTCTTCCCAGAGAGTAGGAGAGTATATTATAAAGGGTCACATTTGAATATTTAGACTAGATAAGAGTCACTTAATAAGAACAGAGAAATTAAAATACAGTTCTGGACTGAGATGAGATTGTTCACTCACATAACCTCAACATGACATTGAACAATCAAATACAACTATAAAGTAAACAAGTGATGAATTGAAAGTTAACAAAAGAAAATAATAGCACCATCCTGTTCTATAAGTTACTACATAAGGCTTTCTGAACTCTTTCTTGTATCAGTGTTAGTGCTGCAGCAATGCAATTTGGCTCTGTGGTTAAGGATCTGCACCTGTGGCTGGAAAGTCGCTAGTTCAAATCCTGTGGCTTGTAGAGGAATCCTGAGCAAGACCCTTAACCCCAGCTGCTCCAGGGGTGCTGTACAATGGCTGACCCTGTGCTCTGACCCCCAGCTTCTCTCCCTGTCTGTGTGTCTGATGGAGAGCAAGTTGGGGTATGTGAAAAGACAACATTCCTAATGCAATAAATTGTATAGGGCCAATAAAGTGCTCTTAAATTTAAATTAGAAAATCACTCAAGTGAGTCTAGCTGTGATATTTGCATAAAGGCCATAGAAAGCCCTTTATTGCCAGTAAGCCACTCAAACTAGTGTAAGAAATGTATTTCAACCTGCTTAAGAATGTTCTACCTAGCTGTTGTAGTATTAGTTACTTTCCAAAGACACTGAACTCAGACTCAAGAAACGGCCTACAGAATAAAAAGATAGGGTGTGCCCAAGCTGCTTTGGTATGTGCAAAAGTGAAATGTTCTCTTTTGCTTAGGAGTCTTGCCAACTCATAATAAAACTTTCAGTGCACATTAGAAATAGCAGGTTCTTTCTAATTAGTAGGAATGCCTGTTTATAATAGGTATACATGTTCCTTGGAATTATTGTATGTAGCTACTTATATAAAAATTGCCAGAACCTACCTGGCACAGATATATCATTTCAATCTTATGAGTCAATTGCACATAACAGAGATTTAAAAATATTGGAACATTATGTACGATTTCTCTTGTAATCCTGCAAATGTCATTATAGTTTATCCTGCTCATAAAACAGACGTTTGGTCTTATTTCAGAGGATGAAAAGAATGGCTTGAAAACATTTTGACTGTAATGTTTGAAAGTAAATTCCCACAATGTTAGGACACATATAATACAATCTATTGTCTCTGTACTATTCATGCTAACCAGATACTAACAGAGGCATACAATACTACTGTATTTAGCCAGGTTGAATAGTAAGAACACAGTACTAATATTGCTGGAGCAGAAGACTGTGATTATGTAGTGGTTATACAGATTTTTTCATAGTTTCATGAAACAAAGTGCAGATAGTTACAGCACAGAAAGTTAGGAAATTAAGATGAGGAAGGGGAAATTTACACAGGGCTGGCAACATTGCAATGGGTTAATCAACAGAAAGGTTACTCAGTACATCAAAGGAAGCAATTTGACTTTTCTAGATTGTTAGGTTACTTGTAACTAACTGATCCAAAGATTTCATCCAGCCGTTCATAAAAGAAGCCTCGTTATCAGACAACGTGTCTGAGCAGCCTATTCCAGACTCCTAGTCTTATGAAGAAAGCACTCTCTTTAGATGAATTAAATCAGAAAAGGAAAAAAATGTTCCTGAAGTTGTAACAGAATGAAACTTGAAGGAGAATATGACTCATAAAGATCTTCAGCAATCATTTGGAACAACCGTATACTATACTGTATATAAGTTCTTAAAAAGCAATCCAAGGGTTGTATTATAATTGTTATTTATGTCATTATAGAGTAATAAAAGTCATAAGATTGTCTGAAGAATGGCTCGTACCCAGCAGCCATTATTGTGACTGTCTTTCTTTGCTGGTCTTAAACTGGTTTAAGGAGGTTTATAAGTTTTAGTTAGGCTGTATTAAATGGGATCAGTCTGGCTTAGGGGGATCAGTTAGCATGCAAGGAATAAGCTGTTCTTATTCTTTCCCATATAATACAATATTATATCATGTAGACCTGCCATTAAAAAGAAGTATTTAGCAACATTGAAATTCCTATTGCATGGGAACTAAACATATATTACTGAATGATATGGTGAGCGAAGTACTACTGTAAGTACTGAACTATTTCTTAATTTGAAATAACATGCTTTGTTAAAAGTGGGTTACAAAAACTAAGCAGTGTTATGAGAACGTATCTAAAAAGCCACATTATAGTAGATTTATTGATATTCTTACAAAATTTGCACAATGTTTTGGAAAGTTTGATTTTTGCAGGGATTATTCACAAAATTAGTTAATAAGCTACATATAACTATTCTGTGACTTTACTGTGTGCATCTTATGCTTTGCTGAAAGCTACATATACACTTACTGTGCATAACACATTTCAAACATTCCTGCAAGATAGATATCTCCTTCAGCTTTGTAAGTTCACCTTAAGGGAGTGTGGCTCTAGGAGTTGCTGGAGCTCTTAGACACTGATTCATTGCAGTTCGCATACTGTCCAGCTTTTGGTTTCTGATGATCAGACCAGGGTTCACCAATCAGACCCCAGGACAAAGTTTTAGACCATGACCTCAGCTGCCATTACATGCTCCACAAAAGACTGAAATCACTGGTAAGTATTAAGTTACTGTAGCTTTTGAAGCCATGCTGTGGAAAGCCATCAGGAATAAACTGCAGGGGATGCTAGCACATGGTGTCCTGCTACTGTATAACAATAATCCAGTCCACCAGGTATGGGTTACATAGGGGTTTATACAGTACATACAGGTATGGCTTTGAGTAGTTACTATCTGTTTCCTTGACTACAGTGCACAAACCACAGGTGATGGTACTTCAGATTCTGGGCATGATTATCTTGCATAGCAGAGAATCTCTGAATTATATGTACTGCATGTTAATTGTAAGGCTGGGTTTTAAAAATCAAACAAATATAATCAAACACAAAAGTATTCACCCTCTTGACAAAATGAAGTGGAGGAAGTGAATGATTCAATTTATTGTAGGCAACTACCAGCTCGAAAGGGCTGGTGTAAATGGACCACTCACTTTGTCCATTGCATTTTGGCTCAATGATTTGCTGTTAAGTGTTTGAATTGAGTCCACAAGTGATACTGGCAGTTGTATAGAAGAGAGGGGTAAACTGGTATGTCAGGCCTAATCAACTGGAGATTGCACAATATACAAATTAAAAGATTTTCAGTATTAAAAAACTATTGTTGGCATCGGAATTACAATTGTGCAAAGCAATGCTTCATACAGCAGATACTGACTTTTTTACATGAAACACAAATGTTCTTCCCAACAGGTTCCCCGATTTCCAAGGCAAGGGATAGGTTTGGCACCCCACATTATCTGGATTGTTATGTTAGAGTTTGTACTGTATATGATTATCCCTGAATTATTGTACTGAATTTCATATAATTTCACAAAGTAATAATTTATTTTTACTGTCACAATAAATCAGATGCCTTTTTTGTAGTTTCTTCAAGAGAGTGGATTTTTTTTCTACTGACTATGGTATTTTCACAATAAAAATATTATCTTAGGATCTTACA